TCTGCAATACCCCCAAAAACTGTTGCTGGGATTCTCTAAGTCTTTAGAAGCAAGGTGACTGCAAGGTGACACAGTGACTGCCATGTGTAATCATTTTTTAGTCACATACCCACACATTCCCACATAGCTGGCATGAATGTTTTCCCAGGACTCAAGCAGGAGTACCGCCAGTAAGTTCCTTATGCACACAGAGAAAGCTAGAATATGAAATTCATTTCCAAATTTTTAATTTGCAAATATTTGAATCTATTCAAAACTGAAGGCTTAATCTGGGCAATGTTTATATTGTTGAAATAATTTAAACAATAACATTTTATTTTACTAAATTGCACTAATTTATTTATCCTTCTCAAAAAAAAAATCTAGTCAATATAATTTTTTTTTAAGCGTGAAAAATATCAATAGTATATTACTTCCAGCTGTAAGAACTTTTACACATTTAGGTAGCAACTTGCTTGTAGTCACGGAATAGTGAAACAAGAGCTGTAGCTGCTGAAGCAGACGTTTGAAGAAATACAGTAAAGAAGAAAAGGAAAACTGTCTTGACAATACTGTATTTTGTGTCATGAGTCAGGCTAAGTATATAGGAATATGAAAGTCTGGCTGTACTCCTGTGATCTTCTGTGCCAAGTAAAGCTTGGGTGAATTCTCAGACAGATTCTTATTGCACATAACTATACTAAGTTTCCATAGGACAGTGTTGGGAAAAAAAAAAAGTTGGAATAGTCAGAAGACTCAAATGGAGCTAGCAAAAACCTAGTTTTGACCAATGGTGAAAACTTCTATCCTAAATATCCCATATTAAGAGATCATTGCCCAGAAAAACTGGGGAGATAACAGTGTTGCAGTGTTCCAGATGACTGATCACAATTCTTGTTGAGAAACTTTCTTAAATACATTTTAAATACAACTAAAAGCAGTCACACTTAGCTGAAGCCTAAGTGAGAAAAAGAATAGCAATGGTGCACCTTTTAATGGAGGCTCAGATACATATGCTCACTGAAAAAAATGTTTAAGAACAGCTGCCTCAGAACTTCATAGGAGTCCCAGCCCTGGAAATTTTCAGCTGTCAGTGCCTAGGGGTAACTTTTCAGTGCAGCTAGGTTTACAATGAAACAAACAACAGATCTAGTTTCCAGGGTAACAACTATCAGCTAAATAAATAGCATTTTTTAAACTTATCTACTACACACATCAGCAGCAAAACCAAAATCACTTAAGATAATGAACCAAAGACAGGTGTGTCTGCATTCAGCCAGTTATTTCTGCAAGAAAGTCCATTCAGGAGGTGGGGTAGAAAAGAAGCAGAATGATTGGAGAAGCCCACAACACTCCCAGGAATGTGACTTGAACCTGAGCAAAGGGGAGCTGCACTGCCCCTCTGCTGCAGTGGGCATGATTTGTTACTGGGTTCCTCTCCCCCACCCTCCCTGCAACAATTAATCTCTTTTTTATTTCTGCAGCATTTTTCCCAACATGTAGTTGGAGTCAATCAACCATATTTTAAAACTAAAAATATCAGAAGTTTAATAAATCCAAAATGAGGTCTCAGAGGTAGAACTCGTGTATACAGAGCCAGTCCTATTACTATCGATTTCAACAAGAGCTCTTTCAGCAGCTTCAGTGAGAACCAAATTGAAATCCTTAAGCTATTTCCTCAGTACACCAGAAATATTTTTTTTTTTAAAAAAAAGTTTGAAGCAAAAACTAAGAACAACAAAAGCAACTGCATTACAGAGCTGAAGAAAATGGTTCAGTTTATTATGAAAAGCCAAACAAAATATGTGATCAAGTTCAGACACCCGTCATCCTCCTCCCACAGGAAAGGCTGTTATCTTTATCTGGAATCTGCTAGACCACATCTAAATTAGAGAAAGCACTAATTAAAATAATCTTTTTGTCCAGAAAACAACCTGCTGAATTCAAACCACCAAATTAAAATAATGTATTTTTCACAACAATTTTCTCAAGATTATGGGGAAAAAGTCCTCTAGAGTAGCCGCTCCTGTTGTTCTAGATCTAGAAATGACTATAAGTAAAAAATGATAAAATATCCTTTAAGAGTTTGTTAAAAAACATTCCCAAACTTTCTATATAAGCTTAGCCTAGGAAGAGTAGGACAATTCAGAGAAAATTGGTATGACATTCCTAATAATTGATTTTTTTATATATAAATCAAGTCTAAGCTTAAAATAGACCAGACACAAAAAAAGGGGCAAGAGCAGGCTTGATTTTTAGTGAAACTAAACTCTGTGTAACTACAGAGACTTTTTCATAAATTATGGCTCAAACAAGAATAACCAGCAAGAAGCAATTGGTAAACCTTCTCTATCGGTTACACTTTCTGCCTGAAAGGATTTACTTTCCATGAATAAAACAACCATGCTTAGTATTTATTATAAATCAGTTCAATAAAAGGACTTTATCTTACCCCCAATGAATTCATGACCAAACAGTCAAAACACTAACGTTAAAAACTGATGCTCTGGAGTTCCTTTTTAAAACGGCTATAGGTTTTGGGTGCCCTAAAACTACAGATAAGATGGAAGCACTTTGCCTCTCTATAAAAGGCCATAACAGAAATAGTTTTTCAGTATTTAGCATCTTCTAAAATAACTTAGCTCAAAGAAAACAGCATAAATCACTCTAGCGTGACAGTAACTATGCTTTTTAAAAACAATTAAATGAGGGACAAGTCAACTGAGATGCAAATCCACAGCATTTAAGTTGGATATTTAGCTGAGAACTCTCCAATTCCGTGAATCAGAATCTCCTTCTTAAGACTTTTGCTTCATTGTGACAGTTCAGCTAAATGGCACATTTATCTTACATTTCTCCAAACACTATTAGTCAAATAATATCTATATAAACATATAAACAAAATAAATTCTTCCATCATAGGGAGTGAAACAAATATGCAAGATTGCTTGAGGGCTTATAATGATAATATCAGAAAAACAATAAACAAACCACCACCACCAACAAAACCAAACAGTCGCACTGGTAAGATATTTAATAACATGCATTAGCCCTTTTTAGAAAACAAAAACATGATTAGGACTCCATTTTCTAGCTGTATTTACTAGGCATCATTGTTGAAGTAAAGAAAGTAAGGTACTGTTAAGTAAAGCAGTTGATAGGTGACCACACATGTAAGTAATTTGTAATAGTAAAGTTCAGAGAAATTCAATTTTACATTTAATCCCTACTAACTTTGATCAGTTTTGTACATTTGACAGTTTTCATCTATATCCATAAGCTTTCTGTTGCTGCAGTTCATGCACCCAGTTCTCACAACAAGCTGACATGCTAAGCTTTTGCTTACAAAACCATCGTTGTGACTATAAAGGAAAATTATCCATTATAGGAAGGAAGGCTTTTTACTTGTATCTTTTCTTCTAAGAGAAGAAAAGAAGAAAAGCTTCTCTCACAGCAGAGCTCAGCTTCCATCTTGGTGAGCAGTCTGGTAGATAAACTGATTCATTTTGACCTATTCTGGGCTTGATATCCCTTTTCACCCTTAACCTGCAGTACTGCTGGAATGAGAACAGCTGTGAAAGGCCACATTGCTACCAGCACATTCTTTGAAGGCCTAAATAACTCTGTGCCTGCTCTGAGGACAGGAAAGCGGACAATTTGATAATTCTTCTGTCAATATTTAGCATCATGTTTTCAGCAACATTTTCCATCGCTTGCCTCTGAGTTCCATCTTCTTCATTCCACAAAAACAGTTTCAAAGGAAACAGGAAGGACAAGAAAGTGATCAGGAGCAGTCAGCATGGATTCAGCAAGGGGAAATCATGCTTAACACATCTGACAGCCATCTGTGGTGGAACAACCGCCTTGGTAGATGAGGGGAGAGCAGTGGATGTTGCCTACCTTTACTTCAGCAAGGCCTTTGATACTTTCTCCCATAACCACCTCTTAGGCAGCTCAGGAAGCGTGGGTTATGTGAGTGGACGGGAAGGTGGATTAAGAACTGGCCTAATCAGTGGTATAGAATCCATCTGGAGGCCTGTAGCTAGCAGTACCCGGGGCGTCGGTACTGGATCCAGGCACTCGGCAATAAGTTAACCACGAGGCAACGATGGACCCTTGTGGCCAAGAAGGACAGTGCGATCCTGGGGTGCAGAAGTGTTGCTAGCAAGTTGAGGGAAGTGATTGTCCACCTCTACTCAGCCCTGGTGAGGCCACATCTGGAGCCCTCTGTCCAGTTCTGAGCTCCCCAGTTTTCTGGTTTCTTACCACACAGTCTGTAAGTGCTCTTTCCCAGCTGCTGACTAATCATCTTCTCCCCAGGACAAGAAGGACACAGATCTACTAGAGAGAGTCCCTCATAGGGTTACAAAGATAATTAATTGACTGGAGCATCTCCCTTACGAGGGGAAACTGAGCTGGGCCTGTTTAGCCTAGAGAAGACTGAGGGGGGATCTTACCAATGTGTACAAATATCTTAAGGGAGGGTGTCAACATGGTGGGGCCAGACTCTTTTCAGTGGTAGCCAGCAATAGGACAAGAAGCAGTTGGCACAAACTGAAATGATTACTTTTAATAATAATTTAAAAAAAAAAAAAAAAAAGAATGTCAGGATAACAGAGCACTGGAACAGGTTGCCCAGAGAGGCTGTGGAGTCTCCTTCTCTTCAAATATTCAAAACCTGCCTGGACATGATCCAGTGCAATGTGCTCAAAGTGGTTGATTGGATTATACCATCTCAAAAAGTTGCTTCCAACCACAGTGATTCTGTGATACTCCACAGCAGGTTGCAGTTGAGAAAAAGGCAAAGAGTATTTTAAGATGCCTTAAGAGCAGAAGTCATTTTTTTGTTTGTTTTGTAATTATAGTTCTAAAGCTACCTATAGATTGTTTTCCATCCTAGTAAATTACTGAGCCAACAACTGTTTACCCTCTGGTCCCATACCTGATGTAAGGATTCCTACACAGGAAGGTGTAAGAGATCAAAACAGTAGACCCATTCACATCAAATTCTGTAAATGGGTAATTCCCATTAAGACATTTGAATACCTTATATCTTCTCTACATGAATAGATTAATATAAAACAGGAAAGGAGAAAGTAAATCAGAATCTGTCTTTTATTTTGACCTCTGCTAAGAAATTTTTTGATAAAAGAAAATTCAATACTATCTAAAATGAGGATGAGAAATAGCAACTGCAATAAAATAAAGAAAATTCAAAGTTAAAATAAGCAAAAAAGGCAAACAAAAGTTGCAGAACTCACAGTTTGTGGCTGGTACAGACACTGGTGTGTTTTCTTTAGGATACACTCTAGTGGATGCATATAACAAAACATAAACAGGAATATTATGAAAGGAGAGAAAATAAGAGCCAGATGTTGAAAATAGCTAGAATTATCTAATAGTACGTTTAAAATACTCCTATAAACTAAACAGAATTCCTAATCAAATATGAAGTTTGAAATTTTCAGTCAATATGATGAAATAAAACATAAATGAACATGATTTTTTGATCAATTTTTGAAATTTTAAATCTAAAAATGAGTTTGCAGAATATATACTTGCGCAAAAGCTAAACTCCATGTATTTATAGAGTTAATCGATTCATCTGAGATACGCATAAGAAGCAGTGGTACATACAGTGTTTATAGATGTAATTCAAACTGCAGTATCCTAAAGTGGGGCCTCTTAACTGCTGCTTAACATAAGTGTAATCATACCTGTGACAAAATCTGTTTACTGGAATGTGAACCATTCATTGCACACTCACACAACACATTCATCCCCCAGAAAGATTCTCAATGCTTTTGCTATTTTTATGGAAATCGTGCACGTATACCAATACAAAATAAATGTAGATACCAGAGCTAGACCACCTAGTCATACAAGTGGTCCCATTGTTCATTACTCAAAGAGGTACACAAATATTCATCAATATTTATGCCTGGGAAATGCTATTCTCTTGCTCTAATAACAAGGTTCATATCCAACATACAAATTAACAGTGTCTACAGTAAAAGTTATATGTCAATAGACATCTTTTTTTTTTTTTAATGGATGGTCATCAGCCTTATTATTTTAAGGGAAAAACAATAAATTATAAATCAATAGCGATCACCTTAAAAAAAAAAATTCATACCACTAAACTACCACAGCAGAATAAATTTAGGGCAGAAAAATTTACATGATTGATCTTTGCCTGTTGAGTGTTTTGATAGTTTACTGAAGACAGAAATACTTTAAAAGTCAGCTATAACATAATTGAAGCAGCAAAATGAAACTATCCCCAAAATCTCATTAATCCCAGAACAAAAGAATAGCAAAGAAATTGACTTTGCATTGAATTTATAATGAAGAGTATTTCATTACACAATGCTGAAAACAACAATGTTAATTGTCCAACTAACCTGTATTAATAGAAGAGAGTAAGATGGACAAACATATTTTAAGCCATTTAAAGAAATGCAATACAGACATACTGATTTGGTAATTCAAAAGACTTATACAAGATTGTTTTAAGAATTTACTAACCAAAAGTGGTATGTAGATATTCTTGTAAGACACTTGCAATTAAACTATATCACATAATGAACACAGTAGACTATAAAGTCTAGAGTAAGCCTCTAATGTTACAAAACATACCTCATGATTTTTAAGTTAAACAAGATTTTTAATATGTCTGTCTATAAGCCACAGAGAGCTCAATTTACCTCTTCCAGACAGCATATATCTTATGATTAAATTCTGGGGTTGTGCTAGTTGTGTAGAACTTTAAATCGTTCATTCTCCAAATCACAAATCATTCAAATCCTTGGAAAATCCTGTTTCAGTATTTTTTTATTCTTTTAATTTTGACTCAAGTTATCATATTGTTGCCCCAAGCCCAAGATAACCTAGATTATTTATGTATATAAAAAAATACATATTTATATTAAACTTTACATTTGTGGAATCATTAGCTAATAAGTAGAAAATATATTTACTGCTTTCATATCAGTTACAGTTTTCCATTGAGTCACCCACACTAGCTAGTATGGTTTAAGAACAACACAGAAGCACTGCATGTCAGAATTAACAGACTTTATACAAATACCAGGAAAGCACAGCAAACAGAAACAACAGATATATAAGCCAATTCTTTATATAAAATACATAATTTAAGTTATTACACTTCAGAATTAACAGATAATGTTTAGAAAATGTGTTTTCTGCTTTCAGATCAGTTGTCATTTTTCTTGTTCCAATTCTGCCATGAAGTCCGTTACACTCTACAATCAGAAAAAAAAAGGTTGTCAGTTGCTAGCATTAACTCAACTTTGAATAAAAATATTAATAATTAAGAACACATACCTGAAGACAAAAGTAATAAGTGTATGTCCACTGATTATACATAAAACTGAATGATTTCACAGGAAATCATTATGCATTAAATATACTGCCATGCCTTACAAAGTGAGGCTTACTTACTTGAGTGAGTGTCCTCTCACTTCTCTGGGCTGTCAGGTACAAAGATTAAAAAATTGAGCATAAAAAGATGCCTGTATAAAGCAGCATAGCACCATATTTCTAACAGTCATGTAATCACGGGTCTCAGATAACTTGCTTCTCAGCAGCCTTAATGAGCACTGAATATCTGATCTTGGATGTTAAAGGTTTGCCCAGGTATCGCTGTGCAAGACTGCATTCTGGTGTACAAACAACATACTTCAGACCATCAGAAAATATATGTTTGTTCAGTCACTTGAAAGCAAATATCTGTTCCTAAGGGAAAGGAAGACTATTGCCTCTCTGAGAATACTTATAATCTCATTTGTATCACATATGAATACAAAAGTGCGTTTTGAGAATTTAGTCAGCTATTGCCAGTCTTTTAGACAGCAGCCCAGGGACAGTTTGGAAATTATAGCCAAAATAAATTCCTTTAAACCCATAGGTAAGAACCAGCACAATCTTGACTGTGATAGTTCTGGCCTCTGATAATGTTAAAACAGATAAGCAAGTCTTTAAGAATCAGTATTCTATAATCTCAATGTACTTTCTGTGTACTTACATCATACTGTCCATTCTCATCCAGCTCCTCAACTCGGGTCAGATTAGGTGCTCCGAATCTATCTGTTAGTTCAGCTATTGTCTTTTCTTGCTCCTATAGTAACAAAAATGAGTTTTCACTTTAAGGCACTCCATATCATGAGTAATTATTTATAAAGAAGACTTCAAATATCTTAAAATGACTATACATTACAGTATAGTTGCATCCTACACAAAGGTGTTAGTATGTAAATAAGGTCTTGGTATTCTCATTATCTTTTCTTTTTAATGGACATATTTTTATACTATGATGTGCTCCATGTAAGAACCATTCACATTTAAAAGCTATACTAAGATAAACTTCTCAATTAGCACTTTATATTCTTATTGAAGTATCAGTAAGAGCCCATATATTTATATGGATCCATATAAGCACTTTTCATACAGTATAAATTCCCGAGAATTACACATCTTATGATTAAATGACATCCCATGTTAGAATCATAATTCTTTATTGAGGTACCACAAATGGAATTTACACTGACACACACTGACTAATGAATAGACAAGAGTCTATTCATTAGATCCAAGTTAGAATACTTTTTCACAAAAAAAAATATCAAGGACAGCAGGAAATAAACTGACCTTAAGCTAAACTACAGAATGAATTTATTCTTTATTCTGAATAGTAACTAAACAAACTTTATGGAATAGACCAAAAATCAAGTATAAAACTCAGATTGGAAGTAAATGGTTTGACATTCTTTTTCATTTTCACATAATTTCTTAAAATTATTCCTGATGCATTAGTTCAATGCCTGTAGGCCTCTGCCTTGCAGTTTGTATTTAATGCCTGCATCTGAAAAAAAGATAGCTGATGAACAGTATTTTCAAGTCCCTGACTAAGCTTTGGATTAAACCTCTTGATTTTTCTGATGCAACAGCCATTTCTCTGCTTTCTCTTTTTCTATCCTCTGCAGTTCCAATTCCTCACGCTCTCGTTGCAACTGTTCCTGCAGTCATTTCATGAAAGGACAAATTAGATGGAAAAATAATACCAAAGCATGCACTACCCTCCCTCCCCACACACATATAAATATCCATTTATCTTTCCCACCCCATTACGTTAAAATATACTTCATGACTGAAATATATATATACAAAAAAAAAAAGATACAAAGCATAAGACATAACTGCAATGTTAATAAGATGAAGTCCTTTCAGTGTAGGAAGGACAACATGGTTTTAATACCACAGGAAGAAGAAAAAGACAACTGAAAATCGAAGACAACTGTCTTATTCTTTAAGCCCTTTATCAGCATATTTCCATTATCTCCTATAACGAGGATTAAGTTCTCTGATACTTTGCACAGGATCCAACATAGAAAGATGAATCCATATACAATCAAATCTACAGGAAAGGTTGATAAGCTACATTGTTAACATGAAGCTTCATCATCAACCTTTACAATTTCCAATCAAAAACAACTGAATGTTTTCAATACAAGGTGTTTATGCTATATGAGCCCAAAATTCTGTTACAAGAAAACACCAGAAACTGCACAGTCTAAGCATTCACATTCAACAGCACTAGTGGCTACAGAATACTACAAACACAGCTATGTTGTAGTAACTGCTTTTAACATTTCCTTTTGGCATGTACAAGAAAAGCAAGGTTGAGTACACGACTAAAGCAGGAATTATAAATTATGTTTAAAAAAAAAGAGGCTAATTCTTCTGTATTGTTTGACTTCTTTCCTACAATCTATAAGAAATAATGTATTATTAAGTTTTCTGTGATTTATCACTAGACACAACCTCATAGTCTCTATTCAATTTACTCTTTTAAACAGTTCATGAAATCCTCAAGGAAATGATGTTTTTTTTGTCTGCAAATTAATAAATTCCAAATTAAAATAATAATAATAATAAAGCAAAAGTGAAATGGAACAAATGCAACTTACACTAGAATTCAGCCTAATGAGCTTAGCATGCATGGAAAATTGCACTTCTGTTTTTGGCTGTTACATGGGAGGCCAAATACATGAGACTCCTCTATAAAGAACAGTTAGAAAGGCACACGCATCATTATTTCTCACATTTCAAGTGCACACAGTACAGGATTGGAGTTGTCTTATGCTAACAGAAGGCTCCAGTAGCCTAAAACACCTCTTTGAATAAGGCTATACCTTAAAAAGGCAATGTTCATTCAGCGATTCATAACCACTTGCAGGAATGTGTAATTGTGTATACATTAGCACTACCTTTTCTGCCATACTGATACTACAATGCATGCAATAGCTTGAGAAAGTCAGTTATAAATCCTGGACCACCTAGCAGAAGTCTGTCAAAAAAGTTGCAGTGATTTCTAGCTTTATTTGCATGAGCTCTCCTGCAACCTAGGGAAGATGGCTCACTAATTGTAAGTTACTTCCACTGAAGTCTTAAATTGGCTGCTCTTTACCTTAGGCTCCACCATCTTTTTAAACAACATCTTACCACATATACTGTAAGTTTCCCTTCCCATCTGCTGACTAATCATCTCATTCATTATTTTGAAAGGTTAAAATACTGCTTTTAGGTCTCCTCCTTTCAAAATCATTATATAGAGATTAGAAGTATACAGAGTGCTATGAGATGCCACATCTACTATTATGATTAACTATTATTAACAGCTATTCACCTGACGTTGTTCTTCGAGTTTCTGCTGGATTAGAAGTTCCTCTTCTTTCATTTTTTCTAGCATTTTGACTTCTGCTAGGGCTGCCTCCCGTTCTTGTTCCAGCTCAGCCCTCTCCAACTTTCTCTATTATCAAATAGGTAAAACAAACACAATTAAAAAAAAAAGAGAGAGAGAATGAAAGAGAATAACTAATATAAATTATATTGCCATGAAAGTTTTTGCCTGAGGTAAAATCCACCTTTTGTTCTTCATCTAAGATTCTCCTGTAATTATAAATCCAATGTGCCAGGTACTCTATTGGGTCTGCTGGCCGATGCTCTACAACTTCGGCCAGTCCCCTTATTAAGCAACTTCCCAGGCATCTCTTCAGGTACTGGGACTCCATTTACACCTAGTAACAACAAACAGACATGTGTTAACCATCAAGTCAGATTTAAACTACAGTTTTTAAGAATTGACTCAAGCACCAAATACTGAATATGGCATTACTCTTTATTAATACTAATTTGTATGACAGGTATGGTCCAAGGATGCAAGTTAAGATCTCTTCAGACATGCTGCTAACCCACTGTATGAATTTTGCTTCTATTTCCTCTGTTATACATTTGTCTTGCCAGACAGCTATCTCTTCAAAAGAGGACATAACTTTGTATGTGAACAATACACAGATGTTACAATTTCACAGAGCTACAAACTTAACTAAAGCATTCCCATTAACTTTCTCATTTGTTCTTTCAAGAAAGTATGTCATAACCAACAACTGTGAACTGACTGAAATCAGTTGTATTTCTTGTTTTTTTTTAAAAAAAAAAACAGCAAAATAGATGGGAAACCTTTTATGAACTAATTCTCCTTCTTTGTTACTGAGAAAGAATAGATGTACATAAGTTAGAAGACAGAAATTAAAAATACTATCTTTACAGTATTTTTAAAGCTGGTTCAAAGCTGGCAGTGAGTGACATATAAGCTATGCAAGCAGAAAGTCTTACTGATCAGCTATGATGGAATAGCAGTGTAATTATACAGGCAAAAGGCATATTTGGAAAGGAGAATCTTGTATATTCTGTGTCATGAAGTAAATCAGTTAGTATAGATCAGTTAAAAACTGCAACCTCCTCACAGCTGAGAATGAATCAATTAACATAACAGAAAAACAAAATCGGCAATTCAGTTTTAGTTTAAAACAACCATTATAAGGGACTTTGCATGAAAGAGTTGAAAAATTGTCTTCCTTCAGAAAGGGAAAATTTAAGCAAGTTGATAGAATAAAAGAGATTCTCTGCCTCAGCTCAAGCTGGGCTGTCGTTCATGCCTTGTTCACAGAGCTGGCCAGAAGGAATCACTGCTGTCACACTATGCTTGTTTACTAACAAACTATTCTTCCCCTTCTCTACAGCAATAGTCAAATATGCTGGTATGAAGAAAAGAGACTTTGCTTGTTGCCTGATCACTGGGTGATCAGGTAGTTAGGGAACAAGTGAAGCAGGCAGCTTAACACAGACTATTCCAAACAGGATTTACAGGTTCTGCTATACATCAGCCATGAAAGTGATATACAAAATAGGGTTGAGGCCTCAGAAACATCTATACTGAACTTGAAAGTATATGTTCTATGTATGCTTAGTCCGTATACACATAACCTTCGATACAAATCCACAGGAAATATTGCTATATCCAGAGAGCATTCCAGTAACTCATCCAGATTTTGCTAAGAGTGCATATCATACACAGTTAACTCTTTTAAGATTTTATGATTTCCTCAGTCTTCAAGTGATTTTGCCACACACTTTTAAAATATATTTACTTTCTGCATCTGTTTTCTGGACCTGTTTGGGGGGAAGACTGGCTTAATGATTTCATCCATTTCTAGAACAAAAAAACAGATAAGTGTACAGCAGATAATAAGCAACATCTAGTTATTCTACTATATATGAATCTTAAAAGATGATGAACTGGGAAACCTCTTTTTCTGTTTTCCTACAACTCACCATTGATATAAGCAAGTTATTCATATTTAATAGTTTCAGTTCTTAAAAGCTGCAGTGATGGGTAAGTTGCACAATGTACCGTGGAAGGGCAAATACACAAAAACCCGTGTACAGTCTAGGCATTGGGTATTCCAAAACTGCCTGGAAATAAGCAGGTGTTAGCAGGTGAAAATAATAGGAAAAGGCAGCCTCCCTCCCTGCCACTACCGACCGTTCCTTCGTCCCAAGGGCTCTGCTCTCCGCCCGTTTCCCCGCCGTAACTGACGTAACGACCACAACAGCGGCCGCAGCACGCGCGGTAGGACGCTGCGTTGCGTTGCTAAGCGACGCGGCGGCGTGCGCATGCGCTCTGCACGAGGCAGCCGCTTGGCGAAGGGGCCGGCGCAGCGCCACCCCGCGGGCAGCCGCCAACGCGGAGCCGCCGCGCTCTACATCGGTAAGGAGAGGGGCACGGGCGCTTTGGGGGAAACAAAAGATTGCCACGAGCTAAAACGGGGTAGGCTTTTTAGCCAACCACAGGGTATTTTTAAGCAAAGCTGTGATGCTCCGTGCTTAGCCTTGCACAATGAAAGACGACAGATCTTTTCTCCTAATTGGCAAACATCTTGCCTGACATCCATTCATCTATTTGGCCAGGTTTTATTGGTAACTTTTAACCAGGTAATGAAAAAGCTCAAATAATTTACGGCTTAAAGAACAAATAAAGTGTCCTATTACTTCTGAAGATTAATTTTACTAGAGCTATCTGGAAGTTCTTCCCTGGCAACATTTTCCAGAACACAAGGCTGCACCAAAACAATGATACATATCTTCCGAAGGTCGTTTTTCATAATGAACCATATAATAGGCGTGAAGGATACACCACGAAAAGAAGACACGCGGGTCGCAGCATCTCCTCTTGCGGCC